ACTTGATAAGGATAATTTGGTTGTGATGTGTATCCCGTCTAATTCAATGAGTTAAGGAAAATCTGAAAGTTAATTTTTGCTTTTCATGGTTAATTTGGGGCATTGTCATTCATAGTCTAAAGGAATAATACTGGAAATTGGTTTGTATGCATATATCGTGTGTGGAGAAGGGCGCTCTAACTAGCCTTCACCCAAATTCGTTTTTACAAAGTGTTTTATGCAAAGTTTCTGTTTTAAGTTTTAAATTGTCCAAAACATTCCCCCTTTCATTGAGTCTTGTTATTTGAGTTAATCTATTTTCTTTTAGTCTTTTGAGTCAAGTTAAGTTTTATTTTCGTCAAAATCACTTGTTAGGTCTAGAATTGAGTCTTTTTGATTGTTTGTTGCTGTTTTGAGTGTTTTGAGTCAGTTTTGAGTCTATAGAGTCTAATTTAGTATTTTTAAGTCTTATTTGTGTTGATTAGCATCCATAGTTAATCCCCGGTCTAGAACGATCCCTACTTACATATATACTACAATTGTTAACAATAGGGTTTAATTTGTGTGTCAAGTTAATTTTCACATCAAGTTTTCATCATTGAGAGGAATTGGTGATCTTGCAAAGAAGTTGGTGAAGACTGGGAGGTGTGCAATCTATATGTTAGTGTATAAGCTTCTTACATTGGTTTAGATGTTACCAGTTGCAATCGTTTCGGTGGATAGAGTTTTTTCTGCTATGAAGATTGTGAAAACACCATTGCGTAACAAAATGTAAGATCAATGGTTGAGTGATAGCATGTTGGTTTACCTTGGGAGAGATATATTTGCTATTGATAATAAGCCTATTATGCGATGTTTTCATGATATGAAACCTCGTCGGTAACAATTATAATTTGTTTGTATTGATAAATTATGGAAGATATTATTATATAAAATGATTTGGTTGTTGCTATTCTTTTAAACCTCACACTCTTTTAACTTTGCCCCTCCCCTCGTCAATTCCTGGCTTCGCCACTGGACCTCGATAAAAATCTTGTCAAGGTTTTCAACATGATTGAAAGAAAAAGAGTATCCTGCACCAACATAATTAATTAGATTTGTAGTTCAATATCGAAAGAAAAAGAATTAATTAGATTTGTAGTTCAATATTAAAATACTTATATTCATATTCATGACAAATACAAGATGTATCTTATATTCAGACAATTTCATAAGTCAATCGGTTGCTAATTAAAACTATTATTTTTGGTCAAACAAAGTAAGTGCATATGTGGTTGTTTTTCTTCATTAGGAGGGATGTTTCGACATGTAATCTTTTTCGACATTTAAAAAAGAAATAATGTAAAACAAGTGACTTATGAGATTAACGGATTGAGTTTAGATGATTCGTTAACTTAACAAATTAGGTTTGGATGACCAGTTAAATTAATGGGTCGGGTTGAACCCGATCCAAATCCAATAAATTCGACCCGTTTACAGGTCTATGTATTGACTATCGCCAAAGTTTACACAAAAATCTACAACACTTTCACATGTATGTAACAAAACCTAAAATTTTCCTTGGTGATAATTTGGTGTAAATTTTGTTTTTCATATTGATGTTTCTCTTAGTATTATTACAGATACTTTTTTTATGTTGTATATTGCTTAAGTTCTTAAAGTTATTATTAACTTCGCTTCTTTCAACAAAAAGAAAAGACAGAACTTTTCTGAGGGTCAGGGGGTGGTACTTTCTTCAGAGCCAGACACCTTCAATTAAAATTCAAATTTTAGCCTTCATTTGATATAATTACTTGACAAAGCTTTAAAATTGGGTCAAAGATACTTATATTGTCTTAATTCAAATTAGTTTCGACCTCTATCATTCACTTTATGTTAGTAGAAATATAAAATATTTTGAGGTATATGATCAAGCCATTATCCATGAATATACCAAATACCAATTGATAGGATATGCAAATAATAATGTGTAGGGTTTTTATCAATGTTGGTCTCTAAAATTAGACATTTCAATTAAAATGGTCCTCGAAAGAGAAAATCTATCAATTTGGTCACTAAAAATGGTTCTTGGAAATTAATATGGTAATTTATGTTAGCTTTTCGTCAATTTTTCTGTTAGTGTGTTGATGAGGTAAAATATGAATGAATCTCACTTATTCAATTGTATGTCGCCATGTAGATTCATCATAATTTTTTTTTTTTTTTTTAAGATTGAAAAACTAAAAATGACCAAACTAAAAAAAAAAAAAAAAAAAAAAGAAAAAAATCCTCCTCAGAATCTCTACCATTGCTTCCTTCCCTCTCTTTAATATATGGATGGATTCAAGTCGTTATAAAAGAAGGCTGTAGTGAGACATGAACAAACTGTCTATCTGGTTTGTTTGAAAGATTATATAATCCCACCATTCTAATTAATATATCTTTCAGATTGAAGCCAGACAGTTAGTTTGTTCATGCCTCACTGCTGACTTCCATTATAACGACTTGAATCCATCCATATACTAATGATACGAAGGATGACTGGAACGTTTTACCACCAAACCACTGACCCAGCTTTTAATATTCATTCACTGTTTTATTCTAAAGTACCTTTCTCTTTTCTTTTCTTTTTTTTTTTTCATAGGAAAATATGTAACACCGTTAAATTTGCATGCAAAACTGTGTTTCGGTATAGATAATGCGCAATATATACAAAACTTTGTGGATTTGTATTAGAGTTATTCGACTCGTGTCCAGAAGCTCTCGTGTGTACTCAATTTTCTTTAGCGTTGATTGTGTTAATAACTTATTTCTATGGTTTGATTACTTAGACTATAACCAAAATTTACATTTTCTTTTGTACAATATTTACTTATTAGATCTTAGAGCTGTAGTGTATTAAAGATTTATGCAGATTTTTGTTGAGTTTTTAAGTGATAGATCTTCATGGATTTAGTAAACTTTACTACTCTTAACTCCATAAAATTTCATCGACTTTTAATATATATACTTTTATGAAAGGTAACAAAGTTAAATGATAAACTTTTGCAGAATTCTATAAAGTTCTATGCTATATTTTAGAATTTTGTGGATTGTCATGAATTTTTTAATGACCAATTTATTAATAAACATTATTATATTTTAGTTTTCATTATCAAAATGGTGATCATGACCATGACAAAATAGTCTTACAAGGTGATGGAAGCGTCACGTGTTGATTGTTGGCAAGAAGGTGATGGTAAAGTTGGTGTTTTTGGTGGCTGCAATAATAGCATGGGTGGTGCTTGTGGCGGCGGGTGATGTTCGAGTGGTGGACGACTAAGGATGGGGCAGTGGTGATGAGGTTGTGATGGTGGTGGTAAAGGTGAAGTTCATTGTGATGTGTTGGTGGTGTTCGTAATAGGGGTGGCGATAATATTTATGGTAATTATGGCGGCAACGACAATGGTGACAATGGTGGTGGTTGGGATGGAGAATATGGTTAAGGTAAGATAGTGGTTTACATGCGGTGGAAGTGGTGAGATAGTCATTGCATTATGATGGGTGGTGAAGTATATCCTAAAAAAATTGAGAAAAATGAAATTCATCAGAACCTTAATATTAAAAAAAATAACTTACTATAAAAGTACTCAAAGTCCATCAAAATCCATGAGTTTTGAAGGTCGTTTAAAGTAAATGAAATTTTGAACACACCTGAAGTTTTGTAGACTCACAAAAAAGTCATGATTGAATACCACAAGAATTTCATAAACTTTTTAGAGATCATAAAAAGTCTTTATTCCATTAAACTCCATATGTAATATGCCCCAGTGTCGAATCGGTTAATCATTATATGTTTTAGGTTTTGAGTAACCAATAAAAGAAGTCTAAACTCGAGGTTTATTTTATACTCTAATTAAATAATAATCAACCATGTCAACAAATAAACGCTCTCAAAGTTGAATAAAATTGAGTACTATAAGTGAGAATATGTTTATGCTGAACTCATGATGTACAATAAAGAACAATGGAATATCGACATTGGACTAAAAGAATAGAGGAAGCTGCTATCAAACTATCAATCAGAGAAAAAAAAATTGGATGTCATCACGGACTATGCCGCCCTCAGACATTACTTCTGCAAGGTTTTGTCTCTCATTTGGTCAAACATTGATGAAATATTTGATAACAATAATTACTAAGGATAGTATAAAACAATGTTCAGTTGTATTGTATTTGATTTGATTAAGAGTATTTGCCTTTAAATTTGAACGATTTCTTTACTTGAGGTTTTGAGTTCCATTAATCTTTCTTAATAAAGAAAATTATAACATTGGTCATTGAATTTTAGTTAAATTGAACTTTGGTTTTTAAACTAAAAATTAAGGAGCATTAGTGTTTGATTTTGTAACAATATGAAGTAATGTTGTTTTGGTAAATGGCACATTTTTGCTCATCCCTTAAAGTGGGGAGTGCTCACCCCACATAGTTACTGTAAGATTAATTTTGTTTATTGATCTAAGATTATGAATATCGAAATTTAAGAGTAATCAATGGGGGTAGCATCTCACTCATTTTTTGGGTGAATAAAAATGCTCTTTTTGGGTAAATCCTTTAAGCTTCAGTCCCTTGTCTTTGGCCAAGCGAAAATTCATACACCAATTTCTCTTTTTAGTACTTATTTGGTTGGTGCTGTACACACATTTTTTTTTCGCTTTGAACGTACTTTGTAAATTTTTGTTATTTAATCATCTTTAATTTATTCAACCTGATTAAGAAAAATTAAAAACAAGGTAAAAAACAATATCCGTGACTAACATCACCTTACTTGCTTTTCTCGGATGAAAAAAAAAAAAAAAAAAAAAAAAAAAAAAGTCTCGTTTGTATCAATGTGTCCGTGTGTTTGTCTCAACGCTCAGAAACTCTCTCTCAGAAGCGTACACGACACAACTTGGTACATACATTTTCCCGTACAGCTCCAAAGTAAAGGTTTTTAGGGAAAGAGAAAGTCAGAGAGTGTGGGTCGTGGGATGGTGGCGACGGGTGAGTAGTGGCGACTTTGATGATGGTCTGGAACAGCAGAGGAGAGAAAATGGAGAGAGAGAGAGAGCCCAAACTTTTCTTCAATACAAAGCCTCCCCTCAATGGAATGGACCCCATCAAAAATCAATCCTAACCCCAACTGTCACGTACTCTTCTTCTACTCTCTCTCTCTCTCTCTCTCTCTCTCTCTCTAACCCAACGCCACCAGCAAACATTGTAAAGCTTTTGTCTTTCCCTTTCCCACCACCACTTCCCTCTTCTCTCCCTCCACTTTTCTCAGTCTTTAATGGCTGCCCATTTCACTATGCTCCTTATAAAATAGTGGGTCGGTGCTGGATTACCACTTCCACCCCATTTTTGGCTGTAAAAAAAGATGCCCACTTAGCAAAAAAATTAGAGAAGTCTTTGTTTTTTTCACCATTGTTTGGTTCAATTTTCTTGAATTTAATCTTGGTTTTCTCCAAAACTTCTCATATTTTCATCACTGGAGATAATTCTGCAGAAAAAAAAAAATATTGGGCTGGATTTTGGGTGTTTCAAAAGGGTCGTTTTCAATGCTGCATTGCACTGAGCTGAAACTTTCATGCTGTGCTGTTGTTTTTTTAATAAGAAAAACAAAAATCACCAGACGCGTGCCTGCAATTTTCTGAATTATCAATTCCATCGTGCAGAGCTCATGAATTTTGGATCGAATTTCTGAAAAGGAGAATTTGGGTTTCTCTCAAACTTTTGTGCATCTCAAGCTTCTGATCAATTCTCCAACATCATTGCTTACTTTTGTTCCCTGAAATTTGAGGGGTCAAATTTTTACCTTTGACCCCATTTGTGATGATCATAAGAATTGAGGAGGCATAATTGTCTTTGATAAGTCTTTAAGGCCAAATTGCAGTAAATTTGAGCTTTTAGGAGTGAAAAAAGAAGGCTTTTGGTATCTTAAGCTTCACTCTGTGAGAAAACTTGAGGAATTGGAATTGGAATCTGTTTGGTTTATGCAACGGACTTTTTATCCAGCTGCATTTCTGTTCTTTCGCTGTATCGAATTCGAGCCTCTGAATTTGAGGTAATTCCTTCATGCATGCCAAATTTTAATGATCAGAGTACCATCAGCATCTTGTATTTGATCCTTCTTGGAGTCAAATTTTGCCATGATTTGGTAGACATTTCTTTATCTTTGAAGTTTTATGTATCATTCAACTGCTGTTTGTTGAGTTTTTGGTTTTGCTGTTTGTTGGGAGTTTCTTGTAGCCGGGAGAGTGACAGATTTTGGATGAACAAAGCCTGTTAAAGTTAAATATTCATCCCTTAGTTATGGCAAAGAAGTCCCAGAAACGCTCTGTGCGGTATGAAAAAGATCAGTTGGGCTGCATGTGGGGTTTGATCAGTATCTTTGACTTCCGGCACGGCCGCCCCACCTGGAAGCTGATTTCTGATAAGAGGCATGGAAGTAAGCAAGCTGTTGGTAAGAACTAAGAATTCACCTTTAACTGGAAGTGGTATTTTCAACATCCAAGGCTTTTTTCTGCTATTTGTTGCCAAGTTTTTTCATGCTGAATTGAAGTCACTCTGTGTTTTGGGCATTCTCTGGACAATTTTACTTAGTTGACATGTTTATCTGATGGGTTTTTCTTACTCTGACCTAAAATTAGGTTGATCTTTAGTAAATTTGATTTGGAATCATCAAAAGGGCAATATTTCGTGTTGTCGTTGAATTTCTATTCTCTTTCTGCAGGTACTGGAATTTCAAGGAATAAGTTCAAGAGTTTGAGCAATTTGGATGAAAATTTCAAGGCACCCTTGTAAGTGTTGTTAACTTACATGCATATATACCCAACTGAGCTTGTACTTTGAAATTATATGCTAGTTTCTCCCAAGAAGCAAGAGTGAGGCGGGGGGAGGGCGAAGCTGGGGAGTTTATGTAGTTATTCACTAATTGAGTGATTGTGTAACTTATAGACTCTTACTAAAATGATTCAGGATGACAATGAGAGCTCGAAAGCAATAGTGGCAGTAGATGCTTGCAAGCCTAGTGTGAAGAAACTCATGGAAGAAGAAATGTCCGGTAAGCAGGACATGAAAAAGGAGAGAAGCGAGAGAAGCAATGATGTAGTGGAAACTAGACAGTCTGATTCAAGCCAGAGCAGAAAGGACCACAAAAGATCAAAGACGACTCGCAAGAAAAGTCGTGATATGGACAACCATAATTTGAATGCTTTTGAGAACTCAGAATCTGGATGCTCTTGCAATCAGAATCGAGAGCAGAAACCTAGAAGTAACGTTGGCATGGATGAGATAATAGAAGAGGTATGTTGCCAGATCCATCAGAAATATATTAATGATGCGAATCATGATGTGAATGGTGAAACTCCTGCAAAACCAAACTGCAAGCATTCTGATTTCGAAGAGAAATTATGCGTGGCAATCAAGGAATTCACGAATCATAAGTTTACTGATGGGAAACAGCTTGCGGAAGATCAGAAAATCCACCACTTCAAAGAACTACTTGATGCGCTCGAGGTCTTAAGTTCAGATGAGGAATTGCGTCTGAAACTTTTGCAGGATCCAAACTCGCTGCTGGCAAAACAAGTCCAAAAGTTAAAGGATGCTCAGATAGAGAAGGATGAAGAATGCGTTTCCTTTGCAGAGTCCAAGTTGTCGGAACAGAAGCTTGGTGATGTTAAACAATCTGAGGAGCTTGTCAACCGTAAACGGCGGTACTTTTTCAGTAGAAAGGTCAAGCCTCAGGAAAGAAACCCAAGTAAGGAAAATGAGGACTCTGAAGCTTCAAAGATGATCGTCATTTTGAAGCCTGGGCCTCCAGCATTACAAAATTCTGAAATTGAAGATAGTACAACCCCAGAATCCCATAACATTGTAAGAAACAGAGGACCAAGTGAAGAGTTGGTTCCCACTTTTTTCTTTCGGAAATAAAAAGGAAACTGAAGAATGCAATGGGAAAGCAACAGCATGGGGCATCTACTGTTGGAAGTTCAAACAGACTGCCTTATGGGCGTCAAAATTCGGGAGGTAGAGACAAAGGAACTGGTAGGGAAAAACTAGGAAGTTCCTCTGGTAAAGAACATTTCTACATTGAAAGAATTGCTAAACCTTCTAGTGGTGTCAAGAGGGCAGAAAAGACTGGGAAAGTGAAAGAATCTGAAATAAGTTTGAAACATGAAAATCATGGCCTTGCGGATGAAAGGCTATCTAAACTCTACATTGAGGCCAGGAAGCATCTCTGTGAGATGCTGAGTAATGGAGATGAAGGTGTAGATATCTCAAGACAGCAGTTTCCTAAAACCTTGGGGAGGATTCTCTCTCTTCCAGAGTACAATGTTTCTCCTTTTGACAGTCCTGGAAGGGACTTGGAGCACGGCTTTGTTACCGCACAGATGAGATTATCAGTCTATGACAAACTTTTGAAGGCCAATGAGAATAAAAGATCTCCTAAGCGAGAGAAGAATGTCAGCCCTCTTGGTGAGGTAGCAGTAGCACACAACTTAGAGAGTCTGCCATCTGTTTCAGACAACAACGTTGATTGTAAAGTACAGCCGACTAACTCAATACCAAGTACCTCAGATAATCTGATTCATGATAATGAAGTTGAAGAAATCCATCCTTTCATCATGGATGAGAAGAACTCTGAAGGTATTGATTCTCTCAGCTGTTGAATTTACAATGACAAACATTTTGAATCTTTGATTAGTGTCTCTGCTTGCTTTTAAATTCTTTGTTATTTTAGCGTTTTATAAATTTTTTGTAGGTGATGTCAAGATTGAAAAAGAAAATGAAATTGTTGTTCGGGAAGAAGCTCTCTCTGAATGCACTGGTTCTTCAGTTGCCATAAATGACCAAAATGAGGACATGTCTGAGATTTTTAATGATAGAAGATTTTCGGAATGCTCACAACAGGTAATACTATCTTACTTTATCGGGCATGTGATTTTTTCTTCTTTTATTTTCAAATTTTCACATGTGAAGAAAAACTGTGTTAAGATGAGTATCAGTTTGAAATCAACATTTTTATTGGGTAAATCAATATATTATTCTCTCTAAAGCTCTGAAACACATTTAAAGGTCTTTCAAGATCTACTAAAGCTATTTCATGTAATGTATATATCTAAATCTTTAAACAAATGACCAAACACATGCTTTCTTTTGCTCTCCCTAACCAAACACCAAGCTCTTATGAAAAACTGTCATCTGTAATGATGTATTATTGGATTTTCGTCTATGTCAACATATAAGGATGACGGGATGAGAGGGGCATTACTGGGCAAGACCCAAGTATTAGTCTTATCTACATGTGCATTTTCTTTGGTAAACTTGCTGGTTATATGCGTCATCTCTATCCTGACAATCATTTTTACCTATCTTCTAGGATTCATATGACGAAAACCCAGTGCAATCTTCTTCATTAGCATCCCCTTCCAGCTCTTCAACCACCAAGCATGTTGAAGATTTAGAAAGTGCTATTGATATACAAGAGCGTCCAAGTCCTGTCTCAGTTCTTGAGCCACTATTCACAGAGGATGATATCAGCCCTGGGAAAACGATTTCTCGATTTGGTATGCTTCATACTAAGACAATTGATTGACTTCAAATCCTAGTATGCTTTTTGCATTTCTCCATTAATATTAATTCATTCACTGATCTGCAGGAGAGCTACAACCACTAAAGATCGAATTTGAAGATTATGAGCCTTCAGCCACTGAGCAAGCTAACAATGCAAAAACCTGTACAGAAGGCAAGGAACTAATGTTTGATTTTGTAAAAGCAGTCATGCAAGCCTCCAGCTTCAATTGGGATGACTTCTGTATGAAGTGGCTTTCCTCTGACCAACTTATTGAGCCATCATTGTGTGATGAGGTAGAATTTTTTCCTAACCAGCTTTGCTATGAGCCGAAGCTCCTTTTTGACTGTATTAATGAAGTTCTGCTGGAGTTCTGTGGGCGTTATTATGGTTGCTTCCCTCGGGTGTCATCTGCGAAACCTAGTATAAGGTCAATACCAGATTTGAAAACTGCTATACATGAGGTCTGGATAGAAGTTTATTGGCATCTCCATCCACTTCCATTGCCTCAAACATTGGACCAGATTGTCACAAAAGACATGTCAAGAACTGGAACGTGGATGGACCTTCGATTTGATGCTGAGATCATTGGTGTCGACATGGGTGAAGCCATTCTCCAAGAATTGATGGAAGACGCCATATTAAGCTATGTAGAAGGAAGTCTCAGAAGTGAAGATACTTCAGTTATGGCTGAGTCAAATGAAACAGAGAGCATTCTCATCTTATAAAACTCAGTCTGACTTCGATTTGCCCATACCGAATACCAAGCCACCTTCTCGCTGTGGCAGTTGGAAAGCAAGTCATATATGTGCATCCAAAGGGTGAGAAGCAACATTTTAGCTTTCTTGGAGCACCATGGATCTGGTAGGAATTGGCTTTGCAACTTTGTTAACTGAAATCATGTAGATAGTACATAATCTGTCACATGTCAAAACTAAGGCTCACGGGGCGCCCGGAGCAGCAGTCATCACCTGAAAGTCCTTGATAGCTTGGGAACCAATATTCGGTCTGCAAGAACTCGGAAACTCTCTGCAAGTCGATTATACAAGACAGATAAGTAATTTTGAGAGTTGATCTTATAAGTGTGGATTTATAGAGGGTTGGAGTGTTTAGTAGAGGGTGTTGTTGATTTCATTCATTGTCAACTGTGTTCTTTGTATTTTACTGTTTCATTTGAAACCTGAAAGGGTTGTTTTGTGACTGACTATTACTGGTGTTGTAATTAGCAATTACAAAGAAAATAAAAAGCTCATGCTAAGTTTGTTATGTGGAATTGGATTTAACAAGTTGGATTGTAAATTTGCATTTCTGAAAAAATTATATTACATATGAAGTGGAGATTCTGTTATTTGATGCAAGTTTTTTTCTATCTTAAATTTAAATTAAGAAATTAGCAAATTTTTTATTTTATTTTTACAAACGATGGTATAACGTGGACAAAATTCATCTAAACTAGAAGGAGGAGGTTCGAACTTGATGTAGTGGTGGGCGCATATTGCTCTAGCCAACTTGGTTAAGCTCAAGTTTGCAGAAATTAACAATATTGAATTCAATACTTTGACGTTTTTGCCCATATCGGATATGTTTGGGCAAGGAACCTTCAAATTTTAAGGGATTTAAGCATGGTGATGAAGAAAATGATTTTGATAGGAGTAGGAGGGTTTAAAAATGCACCACATAAGCATTTAAAAAGGCATATACAGGAATTTGCAAATGACTACCTTCCTCTTATCTAACTTTTTGTGATCTATTTCTTCAAGTTGCCTGAATACATTGAAATTTCGAAGTTGGATTTCACTAGCGCTCTTAACGATCCTACGAAATTCATATTGCTAATTTAGATAAATCTTTAGTCCATTCTTTTTATCTTTCCTTGTGAACTGAATAACTGTAATAACTATTACCACACAAGCCTCTTTAATAATAACAAAGCAATTATTTCTTAAGAAAGTGACTAATAAATTAATACAAGAATGTTGTGCAGAGCAGCTCATTTGCCTCCCATAACACAATTTACAGATACTACACAAATTAGCATTCTCATGAATATTGTAGTTGAACATTAACTCTATGCACGAAAATTGTATGAGGTTGAGTGAAAGAGAACCAAAGCTCTAGAGATTCACTTTCGACAATTTGAGATGGCTAATTTTCTTTTCCTAATATAAGTTGAAATGGTTACTTTTGCCTTTTCTTCGCCCGTAGAGATGGGGTTACTGGAGCTGCCGGTCTTTTCTTTGCAAACGCACTGGTTCTGCTGTCGTCTTCATCATCATCATCGTCATAATCTCTAGCAGCTAGTGCAGACTCCTCCGCAACTTTGGCAGCATTTCTTCTTGCGGCATCCAACTTGTAATGTAATTTCCTTTCAAGGGGATCATTTGAAGGTACAAATTTGGATGGCCGGGGAACTACAGCACCTAGTCCAAGCCTGCAAAATCCAATAACAGTTCTGCAGAAAGTCAACAACGATACGTAACAGCCGATGTATACAAACTAAAGATAATTATACTCTCTTAACCACCCAAATAAATAAATGAATCAACTTGCCTAGCAGGTCGAGCATGTATTTCAAATGGCTCATCTTTTGCAGGTTCATTCACGGTATTAAGCATTTTTTAGCCTGCACATCAGTTAATCAAAGTTAGCTTTTTGAACGTCAACAACGTTGCAAAGAACTGTATAATACTTAAAACAACACGATTCACGACACCCCATTCATAAGACCAGACATGCTAGGAGTAACCAGAAATCAGTACATTGTTCATAGCACTATGGGGAAAAATCATCTCACCAAATCCAAAGCTCTATCCAATTTAACTATTCCGGGACGTTCCTTTTTCTGCGGCGTCTAGTCGATGCTCATTGCAACTCCTTGCACAGCCTGCGGAAGATAAAACCCAATTCATCAAGTAACAGTTAAATAGCCAAAAGGGTTTTGGCTACAATCATTCGTTTCAGTTTGAAGCATGGAACCAACAATGTGGATTGAAACCTAAAGTCTGTGCTGAGCCTACAATTTCAAAGCACTTTAAAATCAAAGCTTCCCTAACGGTACTGAAATATTGGCAAACCCAAATCAAATCAGAAAATCTAACAACGAAAACACCATAACTGAAGCGGATACAAAGCTACGGTTTTGAAGAACGTACCAATTCCCAGAAAAGGCGAGGTATTGGGAAGGTTTGAATTGGGTTCTGAGCAGGAGTGAGGATTTTAGGGTATTTTTATGGCAATGGCGTGCCAAAGGCCAAGACTTTGGGAGAAAGAACTGCGAAAATAAAAGTAAAAAAATGAGATTGCAACGGCGAGGAGGGTATGAGATTCAAAGAGAAATAAATGGGTTTTCTGAATTTGAAAAAGAGACAGAGATTGATGCTTTTACAGGTTTTCTTTTGTCGGGCTTCAACTGAACAAGAGCGTTGGTAAGTTACTTCTCGGCTTAAATTATTGTATTCCTACTAACAATCTTATTGCATAATGGATGTATTTGTCTGTGTGAATGTATATTTGTATTATGAATGTATATGTAATGTACATATGAATTGTGTTTCTTTATTTGTACGCTTGATAATAGGATTTTTACCACCTGTAAAAGTAGAGATAAAAACACTTAAAAATACTTGTAAGAGTACAAGGTAATCATAATATAATTGACTCTAGCAAAGTCGTTCTTCACAGAGATTGAATGAATAATTTATGTAAAAATCAAATCTTAATTAATTATTTAAAAACAAAGTTTGAAAAATGTTGATTTTATAACCTAAAATATTAAAAATAGATTTAATTAAAAAAATTAGAGAAATCGGCAAAGTAAGAAAAACTAAAGAAAACGGTTTGAAAACTAAATTGTAAAAGCATTAGGGTTCCACTATCATCTTAACAATCCTTTGTAGTTTTACAATTATCAATTACTAGAAGCCATACTCAATCCTCTGGTGATATTCCAATCGAATTGTATTCGATTACTTATCTGAACATCCTAATGGTAGCTAAACTTTAAGATATAGAGATAGTTTAAACACAGTGATTTATAATTCAAAGTATGCATGAATAATATCATAAGTAATTAAATAAAAGACTATATATTCATGCTAAGGCTCATGACGTTGCCATAGTAAAAGAAAATTAGTTACGAATAATCATAAAAAACAAAAGTAATTTTATTTAAATGGAAAAAAGATAGAGAACACCTTGAAAGAAGAATAAAAATCTTCAGAGCCTAACCAAGTTCTCCAAATTGATGCGTAAAGAACCCTAATGGCTAAATAGTCTTATTTATACTACTACAAAATAAAATTCTTTCTAGAAAAGGTCCTTTAAAAACTAGAAAACAAAATATAATAAGATACCTAGGAAATACATTCACCATAAGGAATCGCACGTTTCTGGAGTTTCAGGGCTCCAAATTAGGCCCAAGATAACTCTTCTTAAAAGTTGTCCCAAACACATTCCCAGAGGGGCTCTTCATCAAAAGACATTCTTGGACACCAAAAAACCTAATAAAGCCCAAAAACATCACTTTAGCTGCACTGCTTACTAGGCCTTTATTTCATTGCCAAAAAATTACTATTTGGTAGAAAAGTATGAAACTTTGATACGATCAAGCTAAGAGACTCACGAACGTCCACCAATTGGAATTACTCCAAAATTAAACCGTTTGATCACTTTTTGCTCAAGAAGAAGTCGCATGTCCTACATGGAAAATATAATTCAAAGTATCAAGTTTCACCAAATACCAAAACATACCAAGAATAGGGTTATATATAATATAAAATCGACTCATCACTTGGTGTCAAGGACAATTGCATTTTGATTTACTATGTGGAAATGATATGCTTTATATGTAACTTTGTATAACCATATTAGAAGTTGTATTTGAATGCAAGCATGCAGAAAACAAGGGGAAAAAATGTAAAACTTGAATACCATTTTGATGTGGTATTCAAATGATTTAGTATTTGAAACCATAAATCGGTATGAACCGAACCAAAACCGATGTAACTGAACAATACAATTTTAGTAATCTATCTATATATATAAAGAGAAAGCCCAAATAGGTGAAACATTATAAAATCCCTAAAATATCCCCTCTTCATACAAAAAACCGATGGATAATTGCCTAAAAAATAGGGCCAAAGTTGTAATTTTATACTATTAAAAATTATTTGGAACTTAAAAATCAAAATACAAAAAGCGGATTGCTCCACTGCGAACAACATATGCACCCACCTTAACACCGACATTGTCAACCACCAGATTTAAATACCCACATTTGAAATTCATTGTGACCCTTAGATTAGTCATCCCACAAATAAGGGTCACAATAAATCGCAATTTACACTTCCACCAAAAATGAAAATCACAATTAAAAAATATTAAAATTGACAAACACTCTAGATAAGATTGAATTCTCTATCACGTTGGCACACTAAGCACTGTCACAGTTGCGGCGGTTGCAAAAGAGGAACAATGGGTTACTCCATCACCTATGCATACAAAAGAGGAAACAAACCCACTTTTGTCTTCTGCACAGATCCCCTTTCTTCCGCGTGGTTTTTTTCAAAATCTCCTCTGCATCCACACTCGATTTAGACAAGATTTCAGGTGATTTTTTTTCCTAATTCCTTCGCTTTTTTTGCTTTACAATCGATTACCTTTCTTAGAACATTGAAGAATATTGATTATTTGCTTCATTTATTTGATTTGGTTGTGGATTATTTACTTTTTTGGGTCTGTTTAGAGTTCGCAAATTGCATGAACACTTCAATTTCTTGGTTACTTAAGTAATTGCTGCAATTTGCCATATGGTTTTTTCTTTTTTGGATTCAATTTTTTTCATTTGTATGATTTTAATCGGTGGTTATCAGTTGCATGCATTGAGTATAAAATTTGGCGTCATTTGTTTCTCTTTGTTTATGAAGGATATTTTTTGGCATCGTAATTTTTGGTGATAAATATCCGTGATGGTTGTAACTTGTAAAAAACTAATAAGCAAAGTTCAATTGTTTGTTTACAGTTTATTGTGTTGGATCCTATCATCATTTACAATTCATAACAAGAAGCTTCCTTTGCAATCACAAACAGTTGCTTGGTTTCATAGAAAACGTAAGCTTCTGAAATTTAATGCAATTTCCAAATATTCGAACAAACTTATGCTAAGTACTTTTCTTTAGTAGCATAAAATTGTAGCTTAGTAAGAAAACCCATGAGTTTGACTTTACTCAGTTTTGACTTTATACTACTTCCTTGCGACTCAATTAAACTGAAGACCACAAAACATTATTATTGGATGTCGATTGAATTTTGTTTTGATATTAGGTGTTAGCTGTTATGTATTTAGCACATTTTATCAAATATGTCTTTTCACAAGTCGAATTTAATTAAATTGGTATTGAACAATATTATTTTAGTGGATTTGTTTAAAAAGTGTAATTAATTTCTTATTGAGTATAAATCTATCTATTTACACATACTTCATCTAAATCAATGGAGATCTCACGATGGCACTCTGTGTACGTGTTCACTTCCAAAGTAGTTTGGTTTTAATTATTTATGTAATACAGTTGATGTACTAACTGATTAGTTTCCAAAAGGAATTCTTTTCTCATGCGTATGAAAGTAGCGCCCGTGATTGGCTTTCAGATTTACTATACAAATTTATTACAAAAATCTTTTTATTATACAAAAGTTCACTACTCAAATGAAATATACTAGCCTCTCTGCACACATTCATGTGCAAGAGTGAGATGACTTTTTTTAATCACGGGTGTGTTTTTCATTCTAATTTGTTTGAACAAATCGACTAATTGTTTTATTTACTAAACTGGTCCAAGCTTGATATTCTTTTAATTAGTGTAGACGAATTCACTAAAATCATTCCAGTACTCTACAGGTTCAACATTTAGAAGTTGTTATATTAAATGTTAGTGTGAATCTACATACGGAATTGACTTCACACACTTCCATTGAGTTTATGGTGGAAAGATTTGATGTGGCCAAGCGAACCATTAGGTATTCATCTCTGCGTTTTTTTTCTTCTTTTAAGAAATTTTATTTCATTTCACAGTTTCAATGTATTCATTGAGGTAGTTGGTGGAGGAGAAGACTACTACTGTATGAACAATACAACTCATGATCATTATTCGAAAGAGAGGTACCATACAAATAACTAAAATATGACTTTCATTTCCATCCACTTATTTGCTATTGTCGGATTATATGATTCACCATGAAAATTAGAATTGTTATAGGGGGATGGATTATGGCTGACTATAAATTCTATGAAACATTTGTGACGTGTAAAGTTGATAAAATATGTTGTAATTTTTAATTATATGTTCATACTCTTTGTTAGATAATGGCACTAAGAGATGCATAGATTTTAAAATCAGGATCCCACCAAACAGATGTATGGTAGTTTTGCATCTTTTTATATTTAAAGACATGGCTAAGTTCTTAGTCATTTTTCACTAATGAAGGTTGCCATTATTATGTTTCAACTGTATTTTTATTTGAAAAAAAATGATTTAATATGCTCACTTAGATATGACAAGGAGTTTACACCAATATACTTATGCTTGTCGGAACTCATAGTTTGAACAACCAAAGACATCCTTCACGTGTTTAACCTTTTAGCTCTTCAATGTTGGTTGTTTCAAAATTTATTGATTTTGTTTGTTTACAGAATTCCACAAGAAATGCAACAAAAAGTGAAGATGACGCCACCTAAAGAAGAGCCACCTAGCAGACATGTTTCTATTTTTTCACCTACTTGGGGCATCTCCGTTAGGGTAAAAATTGTTGATCTTAGTAAACTAATTCTCAAAGAGTTCAAAAAGAAGAAGCACGAACAATATGTATTCCTTAGCTATCTTTTTATTTTAATGAATTAAAATTAGGAAGGAAACATGCCTTATACATAGATTATTCATATAGGTGGTGCATGAAAAATGCTTTGACAGAAATGAAAACTGCTACTACTCCTCACTTCATACGAACCTACAAAGAGGTTCAACAAATTAGGTACAATCCTGATTGTCAAGCATATCTATCTTTGACAGTATTATTTCTTTATGATATGTTTGCCAATTAATTATTTACAGTTATACAAATATATGTGACACACCCTGACCCAGATTGTCCATCTGGACTCTGAATCGAGTTGTGCTGGTCGACACCAGAAGGGTGACGAAACCATAAAGTGTAGTGATGTGGAAAATGTGAATAAATTTAAACCAAAGGGTGCCTAAATATAAGAGTGCACTTGTGAGCGGGAATGAACCCATTTCACACGTGATGTCAAAGCATAAGTAAAGTACAGTAAAGTAGGATGAGAATTATACCATCGAACGTAATCTCCAATATCAATATTTGCCAAGAATCCTCGTCGACATGAAAGCTCAGCACTAAAACTGGAGGGGCGAAAAATAAGGATGAGCGGGCCTAAAAACAAATCTTTGTAAAAACCTTTTCGAAAACATAATAACCTCTCGCCGTAAAACAAGTATAGTTTTCAAAATATACATACTATGTATAGTAAGAAAATACCTACCATAGCCTACAAAATCTCAAGAATTCAATAAAGCACAATATTTCGTAAATAAGTACATGACGTCCGTAATCACATAATCTCGCACACGCAAACATATCATATCGAGTGCTTATCGACACATTCTGAAAAATGAGTTCATGCAGAGATATTCTGACATGAACAAAACTGGGTGTAACAATGATATACGCTCTTGTACTACAATCACGTGAAGATTGGCACTATGTGCAGCATATGCGAGTCCTAATTGCCTTAGCAATCTAGGACAAGACTGACATCTACAATGGAATCAAAGTGAGCGTACGGTGAGATGTGAACATACACGTGAAAGGCTGGTCCTAGCCCAGGTGAGTACTAAAACCGGTGCAGCAACGATGAGCAGATAACATAAATATAGTCATGCCACAGTGATTCAATAATTCTAGTCAACATAACATTATTCATAGCTATAAATTTAGCTAAGGCATTTTGTAAGATTTATAATGATTTTCTAATTCTCATCGTTATGTCATTTCCTATAATTGTTACTTTACTTACGGCAGTCATAAAGAAAATTCATTATTAGAAGTATATATGGAAACTAAACAATTAAATGTATATATCAAAGAAAAGACCCACTCACAGATCATGTCATTGAGTCGAACCCGCCTTGCAAGCATCGAAGATCCTTGCGATGCGTTTCACCTAGAAACGAAACCATTTATGTAAATACGTAACGTATTAACGTATAAACACGTTTTCGTACAAAAGTACGACTAATAAATGAACTATTTTAAAATGATCGAATTTTGAAAAACAGAGGGCAAATTTGGGTCTGGCACATCAAGAAACCTAATGAAGGACCTTGTGTTCCTCGATGCGCAGCCACAAGTGGCTACACAGGCAGCCACATGCAGCATGCGCCGACCACCCTCACGCGTCCACGCTCATGCGAGTACAAATGTACTCGCCGTCTTCGCGAAGCATAGGTTTGGCCTGGTTTTTGGGATGATTTCCAAAGCTCATATCTAGCTCAATTCAACACAAAAATCAATGATACAAAAGCCAATTTGAAGCTAGAAATGTGGGGAACAAAACCATACCAAAGTGGGGCCGAGAATAGGTAAGGGGAGGTGGAGCAAGTGGTAGAGAAGGAGACACGATGAGGGTGTCATCTCGCCATCATGGTGAGTGGTGGCACTATGACAAAGGACCTCGACGGAGTGGCTGAGTTTTGTTGGTCTCTGTAAAACAGAGGAATGAGGGAGAAATGAGGAGTAAAAATATGAGAGAGAAATGGAGAGAGAGTTTGAAACAAGAAAAATAATGAGAGAGAGACTGAGATCTCTAGAAGTGAGGATACAGGATAGGGCAAGAGTAGGGTGTGAGCCCCAAATGTCTCACAAAACATACAAAATATCTCTAAATATGAAATTACCAATTTGCCCTTCACGTTTGTAAATTTGTAAAATCTCTATAGTAGCTCCAAATTCGATTCTACTTGTGCCCACACGTTCGTTGCGTACTACGCAAATACGCTAAAAGAATGAGTCATACGTCTCTCTAAATGATGGTCAATGGAAGTCAAAATCCTTACATCTAGGGGCATTTTCGTCAATTCTCTCTTTTAAAATTAATAAAATTGTAAAATTAGGGACAGGTTGTCACAATGTGGGTGCAAAAAGAAGATTAATCTCAACTATACAATTTTTTCTAAACAAGGTATAATAATGAATTTTTTTTTCATAGTTAAGTATGTAGTACATTCCATTACATTAGTTTCAAATGATCTAAAACTTAATTTTGTCAATATTTTTACAAGCATCATACCTCGCTCAAACTGAAAAAGTTAAAGCATAGGATTAAGGTACAATATCACAATTTTATGTATTTCATAAACATGGTCACAAATAGTTAACTCGAACTTGAAAAAAAATACTTGAACTTACAGTCTTCTTTGAGCAATTGGAGGAAAAGTGTTGCTATTGGAAAACTATCTAATTTGAAGAGTACTTATATTATTACTATTATTCTCTACTTATCACAATGAAGCTTCTATATAGTTAAACTTCTAATTTTATGATATTATTTGTAAATTCACAATGAAAATTGGAAACAAATGGGTGGCAACCATGGCATTGATATTGGAAGAAGAGTTTATGTTTGTAATTTGTAATATTGTGTGTCTCTAAATCAAGATGGGTCTTTTATGAATTTTTAACGTTGGAAACTACAAATTTATCTTCTAATCATATTATAAGTTTTTTTGGTTTTCATGTATGTGTTATAAAAAGTTTCCTCTTTGTAAATTTTTCTTTCTTTTTCCTCTTCATCTTTTTTCTTTTTCTTTTTTGCTTCCTCTATGTTTGTGAGATGCATTGGCTATGGAAGATGTCATGGATTGGACTTACTAAAAAAATGGGGAAAAACATTGAAACGAAGAAGTCAGCGTGGTCTTGGAGCTCATAATTAAGCAATTCAGTAGTGAGCATTTGAAAGTTTGAAACATAAATAAAACCAACAAAAAGAAAAAGTTTGCTTGGTGTCGAACTTTAGAGCCAATCAAGTTCCAACAGTCTATAAAACGAGAATTAAAAAAAATATGAAAAGCAATGCAAATTAAATAACTAAAATTATGGAACTAAATAAAATCCTGATTGAATACACTTATACTTTCAGAGCTTTAATGTGGGTGGTGGTTGATACTGGAAGTGCACACATGAAAGTTTAGGGGGTGTATTCAATTGGATTTAATTTCAATTCCTTTTACAAATCTAGGGGTATTCAATTAGGATTTTAAATTATTCTTTGAAAGTCTATGTGTATTCAATCATGATTTTAAATAAATTTATAACATACTATGTGTATTCAATTAGAATTTGATTTTAAAGGATATGAATGCACCTTAACCTTATCTCACACTGAAATTGAAAGGCCTCTCGCATGCTTGTAAGCGATGGACTGTACACAGGGAGATATGTACATGATAAGGCTTCTCGAGATATGCATATCTTGATAGTACCTTAATATTTTTCGTCTACTTATTATTATTATTTACATCTACATACTATTGTTCATGAACTTCAAGCATAAACTTGCATCCAGAATCTCTTATTGTTTGACGATTGCATGAATAGCAGAATCCCGTATTGTTTGACGATTGCATCAATAAAAGTATGTAGATACTATTGTTATGATGTATGCAAATAGACAATTTATAAAATAATCACTTAAGAAATATAAAAATATCTAAAGAAACACATCTTTGGGACACACAACACCCATGATTCAAAAACGCCTCTCGCTCGTGCGGAGAGGCTAGTGAATTTAAAGGGAGAAGACAAAAATGGTGAAACTTTCATAATATCTAAATTTCTCTTATTGCATTAAGACTTTAAATAAATAAACATTCACAAAAAAGTAGTACAGAATAGATTGTGCGTGGTTAGTAAGTTTATTATTTTTCAAAAATATATATATTTTTAAAAATAAATTATAAAATAAAAAAGAGCTAATTGCCAGATGTAACATCCCACATCGTCCAGGGGAGTGGATATTGTAAGCCTTATATGTATATTCTCATCTTTACCTAGCATGAGGCCTTTTGGGAGCTCACTAGCTTTGGGTTCTGTAGGAACTCCGAAGTTAAGCAAGTTCGCACGAAAGCAATCTCAGGATGGATGACCTACTGGGAAGTTCTCGTGTGAGTTCTCAGAAACAAAACTGTAACTGCGTGATCGGGGCCAAAGCGGATATCGTGCAATGGTGGAGTCAAGCTCGGGATGTGGTGGGGCCCTAAGCCGAGATGTGACAATTTGGTATCAGAGCCAATCCCTGGCCGGAAGTGTGCCGCCGAGGATGTCGGGCCCCTAAGACCAACTCCAATGGTTGGGCTAAAAGCCAAATTTTTTAGACTATAAAATTTAGTTTTTTGGCCAGAAACAGCTTTTCTGTTGCAATCCTTTTGGCCTAAAATTTTAGTCAGGGATTATTAAAGAATGAACTTAGGCTATTTCTTTTCTTAAATTAAATTTAAAAAAAAATAAATATATGGACTAACGTAAATTAATTTTATGAACATTTTAATCTAAAAATATTTAAATTTTGATAAATATTGAAAAATCACTAAATTTTTCACAAAGCAAGCCTTCAACTTAATACAACTGATAATTCATAAACCGCATAATTAATAAACTAGATAAACTTAATACAAACGACAATTAATAAACTTAATTAATAAAGCACATAATTCATATACTACATAAACTTAATAATCATATCCACCATCTTCACTTGGTGATGGACTTCGTGATTGAATTAGGATATAGGGTTCAGAGGATTCATCATCTTGAAACATACTCCTTAAGGCAGACTTTCGCAAAATTTCCTTTTGCTTACCACGTAAAAACTTCTTCCTCTCTGGAGTATATTTGCTAAGGTCCTCCATCATCAAATTAACTTCAAACCTCTCTTGCTCCCTATCTGAGATTTCCTTCATTTGCAAACGCATTCGGGTTATTTCTTCTTGGCAAGCGCTATGGGTTTC